CTCGAGGTCGGCCCCGTGTGCTTCCTTTGAGCAATGCCATCAACCCGGGCTCCAAGGCTTTGACCCCACTTCTGGCCTATGTCTTTACACAGGGTCTCTGCAGCAAGGACAGCTGGGCTGTATCTTTTGGGTCAACTCTTGCTCTAGCCTTTGGCTCAAGGCCTCAAACAACCCGTGATCTACTGAACTCAGCAGGTTGTTGAAAGGAGGAATACGAAGGACGTAGGGAAGCGGGTGTCAGCTGGGACGTGACCGGTGCAAAGGGATCAGGGGACGAGGTGTCGCGCGGTTCCACACACAAAGCTTTTTCCATGACCAAAGAAGAAAACGTTGAGAGAAACCTCAAGCAACTCGCAGCATGTGGTTTCCCCACCCTCCCCCCCTATTTTTGCCTTACCTGGTTCCCGAGTTACCAAATGTTCTTCCCATTGAGAAGTAATTCAGAGATGATAGGGCTTCCCTCGCAGAGCTGGGCGCCTCCTGGATGGCCGGGCTCTCCCAGGAGGAGCTGCAATGCGACTCTGGCTGCTCTGCGCACCGGAACCATTTTGATGTGCAATATTAGAAGAAACAAAATATATATATATATATATATATATAAAATATTATTTAAAGCAAAAAGAAAAAAAAGGAAAAAAAAAAAAAAAAGGAAAAAACTAAAGTTGCTCCTTCCATGGGTGAGTTGAACCAACGTCCCTTCTCATGTGCATGGTGTTGGGGTGGGGGAGAGTCCCAAAGCTGAAAGGGGGGAATGGAAGGAGGAGAGGGGAAGAGATTGGTGCTACAATAGAGAGAGGATGGGCTCGTCTGATTTGTTTCTACCTCTCACTGTGAAATCTCTGGTGCTCTTAAAAAAGTGTGTTATTTTATATATATGATTTTATTTAAGGTTGTGAAGGTGCTACAGTGGCTTGCCACAGACCCAAAAAAAAAGCCCGTAGGACCACCTCTCTAGGAAGAGAGGAGGTTACGATCTACAGCTAAATCACAGGAACACCTTTGAAGGGATCTTTCCATTGCCATGGGTGCCAATGCTGCGCAACAACTCGGAGCGTCCGAGGTGCACCTTTCAGGCCACGATTCTGAAAGCCAATCTGCCTTTCGTTTGTTTGTTTGTTCGTTTTCAAACCAGCACTTCACTGCTCCGCTTGGGCAGCAGGGCTGCAGCTCACCTGCAGTGCTGTAGGGTGAAGCCTCGCTGCGTGGGCTCAGCTGCCCCCGAGCTCCTTTGCTGTATTGACGTTGACCCACAGCCACGCATGCAGCTCTGAGCCCGTGTGTAAAACCCAGCCCTGCTCCCCTTCTGTCCGGGCCCCTCTGCCACATCTGAAAGCATGATGCCTTGTTTCAGAGCACGGCCGGGCTCGCAGGGGTTGTGTTTTGTTAAGTTGTGTAGAAATTTAGTCTCTGTATGTAAATTTGGAGGTTTTTTTTTTTTTTTAAAGAGGATAATTATGGTAATCTTTAATTCTATATAAGGAATAATATTGATGTACTCGGAGCTGTACTGTATCGGAAATGCTTCAGCGCCCATTTGGGGTTTTCACGTCTCCTAAGGACTATGGATTTTATTTTTTTGAGGAAAAAAAAAAAGAAAAAGAAAAAAGAAAAAAGAAAATGGATGCGTGTCTCTCTTTGTGCGTCCCCTTCCTACGGCCAGCAGCCATCGGCTGAGGCTCACAGGCTCCATCTCACATACCTCACCCCGCTGTTCTGTTTGCTCCAGCCCGCAGTTACCCTTTGTTCTCATTAATGCTTTTTTTTTTTTTTTTTTTCCTTCTCCTCTTTTTTTTTTTTTTTAATTATTTTTTAATTTGGACTTTAAATAAATATTTAAAACTGAGGCAACGATATGGGACTTTTATGGGTATTTTTTTGTTGGGTTGTTTTGGTTTGGTTTGTTTGGTTTTTTTTGCTGCGGGTGCGAGGAGCAGCGATGCCCTATTGCTGGGGGTGGGGGTGCTGCTGTGAGCGGCCAAGGGAGCCCCAAAATCCTCCATCCCACCACCAATCAAGTGATGGTGAGCCCCTAGCGTGGCCACCAGCACGTTCCTCATCCTCATCCCCATCCTGACACAGTGTGGGAGAAAAGGAAGGGGAAGGGGAAAGGGGGGAAGGAGAAGGGGAATGGGGAAAGGAAGGCAAGGAGAAAGGAAGAGACGAAACTTTTCAGTGGTGAACCATACATCACACCACAATGGCTCCAAGCTGACCGAAACCCAAGTTCTCCTCTCTCAGGAGGATTCACAGAACAGGATCACAGAACACTGCAAGTTGGAGGCGCCCATAGGGACCGCCGAGTCCAACCCAGGGCTCCACACAGCACCATGCAACCCTATGGCTGAGAGCGGGGTCCCAACGCTCCCTGAGCTCCAGCATCGGGGCTGTGCTCACCTCCCTCTGGGATGCAGCCTTTCCCAGCCCCTCCTCACCTTCCCCTGGCAGCCCCATGCCATCCCCTCAGGCCCCATCCCTGTTTGGAGCTGCGTGCTGCCACCAGGACCCCGTCTTCCTCCTCTTCTCTGGGCAGAACAAACCACAGCCCTCAGCCCCCACAACACGCTGTGCCACCACCAGTGCCAGGACGGGTGTTTGTCTGCCCCAGGCACTGCAGGACATGGACCAACGCCTTCAGTGGCACTCACTGCCCTGCAGCGCCTTGCACAAACCAACCCGCGGCACTCGGCCCGACGCCTGCCCAATCAGTTATGCTTTCTGAGAACAAAAGTCCCCGGTGGTGAAATACAGCTTTTTTCACCTCTTCTGCCGGAAGAAAGCAATCTTTTGCCAGTTTAGTTCCCATCAACTGCTATTGCTTCATGCCTGAGCAAACAGCCCCGTGGTTAAATAAGCACACAGGCAGTGGCAGGGCTGTATATAAGTGCCAGCGCGCAGCAGCATCCCACCCACACTGCAGCCTCACCACAGCCCCCCTGTGAGCAATGCTGGCCTTCCTCATCCCTGTCCTCTCCCTCACCATGGGGTTGGTGCGTGCCCACGCCATCGACTCCCCCACCTGCGCCCCGCTCGTCCCTGCCGAAATGGACAATGCAACAGTGCACAGGGTAAGAAGTGCTGCATTCCGTCCCTGGGAGCCCTCAAACCCAAACTGGGGTCTGGAATGCATCTGCAATCCCTGACCCTCTGCTCTGCTCTGCCGGCAGCTGCTGGGGCACTGGGTGTACATCATGGGTGCCTCCCAGTACCCCCCGCACGTGGCTGAGATGAAGGAGCTGAAGTACGCGACCTACACCATCTTCCCTGGCAGGCATGAGGACGAGTTCAACGTGACGGAAATCATGAGGCTGTAAGGATGGGATGGGATGGGATGGGATGGGATGGGATGGGATGGGATGGGATGGGATG